TGCTGTGCTTGACTGCTCTGTATAAACTTTACACGATATTTTTACTGTCAACTGAGACAAGATTTTAACACGAATTGTGGAATGGAAGAAAGGAGTCTGTCTCTGTGTATTTGTCATGACCAGGATTCACACATCCTTTGTATGCAATCTTCCGTATTTGGATCTTTAGGAACATACCCTACTTATGCACTCCATCCCCCATAGCTCAGTACATGACCTGTGATTCACTTTCACTCATTTGCGGATCAGACATTTTAAAATACCGTGTGAAGTCACGTGCTCCAGCAAGGTCACCTCTCCTAACAAAACGTAGCCCACCGTAACGAAATTGAACTAAATCTGCCCCTCGGCAGTTGAACAATGTCTGCGTGCCAGTATGTGCTTATATGCTATTCTTGCATTGTTAGGGAAGCAACTGCCACACTGCTATTGTTCAGACCATGACAACAAACAATAGTCCGTATGAATCAAACACAAAACCACAGATAACACTCAAACAAACAAGAAGTGAAATGTTCCTCTTCCTTAATTGAGATATTCATGAAGCATGCGGAAGTGAATGCGTCCGGTGGACTTCCTTTCCTGTTTTCTACCTGTTTTTTTGTCTCACGTTTCTGGTATTTTGTTTATCTTGCCTTGTTAAAAATATGTTAATGCCTAGTTTGTAACAACACCGACCATGGGGTAACTTGCAACAAACAAATGAAGGAAGAAAGAAAGAAAGGATTAAAGATGGAGGTAGTATGATCCCGAAAACATTGGTACCCATACACAAGTGCACAAGGTATCACAACCCAGAGGACCACCACGGACATCTGCATCACTGTGAGAACCTCAAACATCAACCTTTTTTTTTTTTTTGTATTAACTTGGAGGCTGTGTCAATCACGAAGTTTTGGGCTTGATTGAAAGTTAACCCTATAGATTTTATTGGAGCAATATGAACCAAAATTAAATTTAACCCTACCAAAACCAAATTTATATTTAAATCTGTCAAGCAGCCTTCGAGATTAAAGATGACACATGCAGACTGGTGAACAGGTGACATGGCCACCCCATTATTTGTTGATATTAATTACGCCACATTTTCGAACGATTTAATTAGCTTTTGATGTGTATTGAATGTCTGCAAGACATTAGAAACTGCAATACCTGCAGCCATGGTCACCCAGACCGGCTATGGTAATGTACTGCTGACGTAACAAATATAACAGTACACGAAGCCAATACACTACGGTACAAAGGAAACTGTCAGTAACAGTAATTCTGCAACCTTGTTAAGTTATTATCTACACACGACCCTCTAAAATCAGTCAGTTACCGGTATTGAATATGTCTGGCATAAATTCATAATTCCTTTCAACGTGCGGAGTAAGGAAAATATGTCCTTAAAACAACTTCCTGGTTAATTTACTGAAGTGAAAATATAATATGACGAGAAGCCATAATATAATAATTTGTCTGGGTAGACTTCAACAACGGCTTAAAACGCATTGGGAAAGTCTAACCCTGCAAACCATTCGAGCAGCCATCAATTATTAATCATGAACAGTAGAGTACAAAAATGTCAGAAATGAAGAAGAATAATATACAACAAAAGTTTCGTTTCAATCTTGAATTTTCCTACTTAAATGAAGAAGAATAATATACAACAAAACTTTCGTTTCAATCTTGAATTTTCCTCCTCACACCTCATTAATAAACGCACGTCTTATTTTATAAATGTTCGATCACATTTTCTTCTCAGCCTCTGGCCTGTTCCGACTCTGATGTAATTCCAAATAATAGTCTTTTGGACGTATGGTAATTCTCCCTAAATGTGGGATAGGCTCCGCACACGACATCACAGACAAATAGGGACATACATCCAAGGCCCGAGCAAAATTTCAACCCGCCATACGAATGTTCTAGCCGCCAATGGTGTCCGCTATTTGGAACATCACATATAACTCTTAAATTTAAAACGCCCAAGGTGTATTATTTTATTCATGAGTCCGGCATGACAAATTTCTGTCTGAGATCCAATGAACCGTTAGTTTAAGCACCAAACATCAAGATGGCCGGAACTTTACTGGAAAGGTGCGTGCTTGCAATTAACAGCGGTGTGGTTTAAGCTCAAACAGGATTTAAAAACCCGTCAAAACATGCAAGTAGTCTACACTGTATCAAATAACGTACATCATTAGTAACTATATAATTTAAAGTATTAAAAATATATGCACATACTTGTGAAATACGCTTATGCAAACCTAAAAATGGTTTAATACAAGTAAAATTAAGTTCCTTTACTAAAGCGTTTTCCAACAGCTAAAGTGAATGACAAATAATAATTGAT